GAAAGATTTCCGCCCGTAACCCCCGTATTTTCTTTTAAACATTCTATGCCTGAGAATATAGGCCTATGTTTGTTTATAAAAAAACTAAACCTAACCCTAAACCTAAACCTAAAACTAACAATAACCCTAACCACTCGAAATAATCCTAATAAATAGAATACATTTCAAGCGGGGGGTACGGGTGGAACTCTTACCCGTATTAAATGTGAATATTAGCAGAACATCACTCCAGATTCAAAGACAGGTGAACAGTTAAAAAAAAAAGAAAAAAAAGTACTGTCGGAAATGCTAGAAAAATGCTTTTTGACTTATATTTAAAATTCAGAGGTATTACAGTTACTTAAATAACAAATATCACTTCAAGAAACATCTACCTAATGCAGACCGAGGGAATAAATTTTGAGACATGCTCTAAAATGTGTTTTTTACTGATGAAAATACCAAAAACTTAGAAAAATAAGGGGTAGTTGGACGTTATTTGAAACAAACATTAACTGCCTGTGTTACGTCATCAGCACGCACGGTATCGACAGGTGAAATTGACACCTGAGCACACGCTCGGGGCGAGGGGTCATCTCAATAGATGTTTTCTGCAAAATGTTGAATATGTGTACGTATAGTATACGTATCAGTTATGTAAGGGATCATTTGTGTATGTGTGTTTGTTTTGAAATAAACACACGAATTACTATACATTGGAAAGAATCCTATCACTTGTGTTATCTTATCGACTGATTGTAGAAATGTGCAACGTTTTAATAAATGTTTTGCATGTCAACAGTATATTTCATTGAAAAAATATGGATGTAATTCGGTCAGTTTAATCTAGTTGTGAACATTGGCCAAAGATTTAACGAAGTCACTGGTGTAGCTTCTTTAGAATATATATATTTTTCTTCTCATAAAGTTTGTAGACCGCCCGTCTAAGCACTCTCTTGTCAAAGTTGTCAAGGATGGTTTTACGTCCCGGTTTTGCATTTGAGACGGTCCCTGTCTCGTCTGATTTGTTTACAATATTGTAAACTTGTTGGTAAGACATGCCAACAGCTCTACAAGTTCTATAATAAACCCTTTCTAAACTAATGAAAGGTTTACCTCTGTCTTTTTCAAGCACAAACAACTTATAAACCTTTGCAACAATCGCCTGCAAATCGTTGGCCATAGTGGACGCTGTGATCAAGATGTGCATGCATGACGGGAAACTTATTTATCAAGTCTTAACATTTATATTAATATTTCTTCAATAAAGAAAACGATACTTTAGTAAAGTAACACAAACATTTAACATTTATTTGTTTAGGATGAACGTAAATTCATATTTTTACACCACCTGTATTATTAGCATAAATGTAAAGACTATTTCAGATTTCTGTTGTTGAACTCTTGAAAAAATCTTAAGTTGCTGTTTTGGTACCAAATTCTCTCCTGTAAACTGCCCTTTAAATGCATGGGAATGTTAAATCGATTGAAGTAAAAATTAGGTAGACAATAGGCGAGTTGATATTTTGACAACATAGTACATTTATCACCTTTATAAAGATATTAAGGCTAAAAAGCATTTTTCTAGCATTTCCGACAGTACTTTTTTTTTTTAGTATTTTGTCAAGTCACCATGGGAAGCAATGCAGGCTTCAATGCGGCGGAGCATACCACTGATCAAAGAAGTTAGAAAGTCGTGGTCCATGCTGTGCCAATATCGGACAATCTCTTCTTTCATTTCAACAATATTTGTCAGATTTTTCTTATTGACACTTTTCTTCATAAGTCCCCAAACATTTTCTATTGGATTTAGGTCAGGGCTATAGCTTGGCCAATCTAATAATGTCATATTTTGGGTCCGAAGCCAGGCCTGTGAATGCTTTGAACAATGTTTTGGCTCGTTGTCCTGCTGGAAAATAAAATAAAATTCATAGAACACGTGAGCAGATGGAAGTAAATGTCCCTCGAGAATATCTGTGTACCGCTCACTGTTCATATTCCCTTCAAATACACAGTGGGGCGTTGCCCCTAACACAGATATGCTACCCCACACGTTAAATTTCGGACTGTAGTTTGGGCGCTGATACAAAGGTTTTTCAGTTTGTTTGGTCCAGAATTTCACTGTATTAGGAAACATCCACACAGAACTTTCATCTGAGAAAATCACATTGTCCCAGTTAAAATTTCTATGCTGAATTCACCAGTTCAACCTTCGCTCCATTTGTTCAGGTTTGATGATCGGTGATGGAATTCCTCGACTTTTCTGCCAACCCATTGCATGCAGCTCAGTTCTAATTGTCTCCTTGCAGACAGCCACAGTTCCTCTATCAATCATATCCAGCCTTAAGTTTTCTAAACTCCTTCGTTTGTTTTTAGAAACAAGAATACCAAGCCGCCTCCTGTCACCGACAGTCAATTTTCTGGGCCTACCAGCGCCTCCCTGGTGCTCAGTGCCATATCCATTTGCAATACTTTTCAAAACACGATAAACAGTGGAAAAAGGGATGCCTGTTCTACTTGAAACCACTTTAGCTGATCTGATGTCCTTGTTATAATACTCTAAAAACAACTTCCTCTTCTCTAAATCTTCCATACTGAAGATCACTGAATATGTCGTCTGCTAGCAAGTAAACAAAGGGGGATAACTCTTCACAAACTAATGAAAAAGGGTTAACGTAGTTGTCTCTCTTGAATGAAACCAAGCACTTGATAGCTGGTCAAGGTTGTTTATACTAGAAATCAAATTAAACATATTCCTAAAATTCTCAATAATTTCTGGTCATACTATAATTATCATAGACTTACATGTTATTTAAGTGTAGCATAACAGTTATAGCATTCACTAGAATTATCACTTTGCCATATGTAAATGTTATGGCGTTCACTAGAGTTATCACTCTGCCATATGTAAATGTTATGGCGTTCACTAGAGTTATCACTCTGCCATATGTAAATGTTATGGCGTTCACTAGAGTTATCACTCTGTCATATGTAAATGTTATGGCGTTCACTAGAGTTATCACTCTGCCATATGTAAATGTTATGGCGTTCACTAGAGTTATCACTCTGCCATATGAACCTGTTTTGGCATGCACTAGAACTATCACTCTGTCATGTATATGTAGTTATAGCATTCACTAGAATTAGTTAGGTTCTTAGTTACGTAGTTGTTTCTTACTTAGTTACTTAGTTACTTATTACCTAGAATTGTCACTCTGTCATATACATATAGTTATAGCATTCACTAGACTTATCACTCTGCCATATGTAAATATTATGTCTTTAATTAGAATATCACTCTGACACATATATATATATAGTTATAGCATTCACTAGAATAATCATTCTGCAATATGTAAATGTTATGGCATACAGTAGAACTACCACTCTGCCATGAACATGTAGTTATAGCATTCACTAGAATTAGTTAGGTGCTTAGTTACGTAGTTACTTTTTAAGTTGCTTAGTTACCTATTTACATATTTACTTAGTTAGTTACTGAGATACTTGTTACCTAGAATTGTCACTCTGCCACATACATATAGTTATAGCATTCACTAGAATTATCACTCTGCCTGATATAAATGTTATGGCATTCACTAGAATTATCACTCTGCCATATATAAATGTTACGGCATTCACTAGAATTATCACTCTGCCATATGTACATGTTATGGCATGCACTGGAACTAGAACTGTTTTCTAGTTACTTGGTTACATATTTACTTAGTTAGTTACTGAGATACTTATTACCTAGAATGGTCACTCTGCCACATACATATAGTTATAGCATTCACTAGAATTATCACTCTACCATATGTAAATGTTATGGCAATCCCTAGAATTGTCAATCTGCCAAATGTAAATGTTATGGCTTTCACTTGAATTATCACTTTGCCACATATACTCATGCCAACAATGGTTGTCACACACACACACACACACACACACCCTCACCCCCCCTACCATCACCCCCCACACACATACCTCACCCCACACCCCCTCTCCAATTAAAAAAATTGAAGGGGTGACAACCATTATTGGCATGAGTATATATACATGTATAGTTATAGTATTCACAAGAGTTATCACTCTGCCATATATAAATGTTATGGCATTCACAAGAGTTATCACTCTGCCATATATACATGTTATGACATGCACTGGAATTATCACTCTGCCATATATAAATGTTATGGCATTCACAAGAGTTATCACTCTGTGGAATGAATATGATCATGAATCTGTTGAGAATCGTCAGCACCACCCTCAATGATTAGAAACATTACCCACCGTACTTCACTGACGGAAGTATTTAAAGATATTTATAAATAAGCGGAAGTCTTTAATAAGAGCAACTATTCAAGTAAATTTATTTACGGATATGTAGCCGGAAGTATCTGAAAATATCTGGAAATAGTTTTAAATATCTCTATTCAAGATATCTTTATTTCATTTCAAGATATCTCCAATTCAGTTCAAGATATCTTCAGATGTCTGATAGGCATTTAGAAGGTGGTAAGGTAATACAGGACACTTGATATGGATGTGCAACTTCTTTATTATTTACACACGACGTATAAAATGATAAAGAAGTTGCATATCCACGTCAAGTGTCTTGTACTAACATATCTTCAATTCAATTCAAGATATCTTTAAAACAATTAAGATATCAGTAATTCCTCAATACATGTTCCCTTTTTAAGAAATCTTTAATTCATTTCAAGATATCATGAAGTTTATCAGGGAGAATAGAAGACGGCCTACTGTAGATTATCCCTGATTTTATTGGAGATATCTATAATTATCTCTACTCGAGATATCTTCAATTCTGTTCAAGATATCTCTATTTTCGTTCAAGATGTATTTAAAACAATTTGAGGTGTCTTTAATTTCTTAATAAAGTGAAAACGGCTTGCCATAGTGAAGAGCCAGCGCAGCATACCCAGGGAACCAGGCTGCCTTTCTCAGCGCAACAGTCAGCGAATACCAGTTTTCCGAGTTCTTACGGAAACGGCCGATACTTCTCCGAATGAAAGGTGACCTGTTTCCGGTACACAGCTGATCAAACATTGGGGCAGACGGTGTAGCTGATTATTGTTGGTTTTTGTTGCTGTTATTGTTTTGAGAAGCAAATTGACGATGCCAATACGAGGTAATGCTTCAAGTTAAAGATGCTTAATCTAACAAGACGATTGTCACTTCGCTTCGGAAAACTTTCTTTTGTTGTATGTCGATCTGATAATCTATGAATTGCAGCCACAGCTAGCAGTACTCATGCAGGTACTAGCATGGCTAGCACGATTCGCTTTATTTCGGTGATGAATGAGATGATAGTCTGTCTCACAGTCCCAGAACCGCATTATTTTCCCTACTGCCAAGCCATAAATAAAGCAAGTCTAGATTTCCTCAGGTTCAGGTTCTGAATCTCTGGTCTCCCTGGGGTTCCTTTTCAGTTTAAATGGGCTTGTTTGTTACTATCAAAATTATATATATTCAGAGACTAAGCGTTAGTCTAAATGACTGAATGATGTCCTCTCTAAGCAGAACTGACAGCAGCGCAGTTTACCGGTTGCAGCGCCCACTCGCCACGGAGCATTTATCAGGTTATAGCGCGACCGCTGTCTCGGTATGTCACGCCGTGATGGTGTCTGTGACAGCACCCAAGCCCAGAGCTGTGATGAAGTGTCATGTCTTGACTGCAGGGCTTATTAATCCATATAGCCCTGTATGTGCCAGCATTTTATGCAGCTGCTATAGCATAGAGATTTCAGGGACTGAAAATGTATTGTTGCTGGGTGTGAAACACAGTCAGATGAAATTTTAGGAAATGGTCACAAAAAGGTGAGAGTCTCAAGAGGAGGGACATATAATAATGTGTCAAGTTGGGGAACATCCTGAAATACCACACATTTTCTTATAAAATACAATGTGCATTCAGTATGTTATCAAAAGTCATTAAATACCTCGCTAGCAACATTAGTGCGAATCTTTCTGTTTATGCTTTTCTTATAAAATACAATGTGCGTTCGGTATGTTATCAAAAGTCATTAAATACCTCGCTAGCAGCATTAGTGTGAACCTTTCTGTTTATGCTTCATTTGGACCATGTCTAGATGTCCCACAAATGTACACAGGGATAGCCTAGTGGTTAAAGCGTTCGCTCGTCACGCCAAAGACCTTGGTTCAGTTCCCCACATGGGTACACAGTGTGTGAAACCCATTTTTGATGTCCCTTGCATGCCTTGATATTGCTGGAATACAGATAAAAGCGGTGTAAAACTAAACACACTTACTCACTCACAAACGAAAACAGTCATTATCCTCATGGTAAGGTTAATATCTTTAACAGGATTTACTAAGCTATCAACACCTTTTACATGTACATGTGTTCAACGTCTGGCCATAAAGCAGCAATAAAAATATGAAAAATGACTACCTCAACAAGCTCCTGAGAGGAAGGTTATAGACCTCTGAAATGGCCACAACCTTGCCCTTCATGTAATGCAGTGTCATCTAATTTATTACATTTCTTTTGAAACCTCTGTGTTATATTCAACTGGATTGTTTTGTTTTTGATCCAATCTTAAATCATGGAGATTATCACCTTCAGTTATCCACATCATGATGTATGTCATCAATCCTTGACCTAGATCTAGTAGCCGGTCAGATATGGCTGTTCCTGGATGATATAGGGGTATATTTGATACTGAGGGTCATGTGTTTATCTCCTAATACTAACCGAAATATCTAAGTTTTGCCATTTGGCGATCAAATTCCCAATTATCTGATACATGTTCAGTTACCATGTATATGCCAATGCAAGTAAACATGCTGTATGATTTCTTGCAGAATTCACATACACAGGTGGTGACCTTGAGGTGACCCCTCAGATGCTGTCGGACTTCAATGAAGCTGGCTACATTCTTGTCAGGTACAGTGTATGTCAGACTTGAACTGCTTCATCGAGAACAGTTCCTTCAGATCCGACAGTTGACCAGACATGCCTCGGTTATGCTAGAACATTTCACTGAGCAATCTCTTGGTGGATGTCATGACAAGTTGCTAGGAGTGTTTTCATGTATTGAATCAAGTAGATCAATTCATATTGTGAAGTTTTGCCTGTGAGGCCAATTTCAAGGACCAACTTCGTTAACCAGGATAAAGAGTATAATCTGTTTGAAACACTGCGGAGAACCTGAAAGACTATGTTTGGGTTGTACTAGTTGGAATTGGCCACATTATATTACAGGGATCTGTTAACATGGTATTAAACTGCATTTAGGCCAGATCCATTTTATTTCTTGTTTTACGGATCCGCTGGTCGTATTTTATCAAGAATAAGAAAAACAATAAATTTTCCCCGCTCGAAAAATATAATCCTAATGTTAAGATATACAGGAGCAACACTTCAACTACCTAAGGCAGTTTGTTGGACACTAAAACACCGCTATCTGTTCTCAGAGACTTTAAACTGAAGTATCTAACAATATTTGTGTTAGAAATCAGTGCTTAGACTAAGTTAGAGCACCTCAGTGAGTGTGAACTTGAAAACCTCATGTGGGTTTTTACTTTGATTAGTGATTTTTTTATTATTATTTTTTTTCTCTCCTGCCTTTAGGTTTTCTGAGGAAAGAAATCTATAAAACAAGAAATAAAATTGGTCTGGCCTTACTAATCTAGCATTTTAAGTTTGGCTGTTTATATTGTTGTGAAATTATTGATTTTGTGCAGGATTAACAAAGACATGGCTGCAAACATATTGCTGAATATGATCTATGAATGTCTCACACAACCAGTTTTAATGATGCCATTAACTAATGTTCTAATCAGCATTAATTGCATCTCTGTGCTTATTGGTTATGACAACATTTTCGTGGTAAATTGTTATTCAGAGGCCTCCTAGACAGTGTGGAGTTGAAAAAGGTCCAGGAGTGCCTGGAAGGCAGTGATGCTATCATGAAGCATGCATATGGGGTAAGCGATGGTGTCAATTATGATGTCTTTTGGCTGAACTACAGGTTATGTTGAGTTCAGCTGACCCCTGACTTTGAATTGTCATATTGTGACTGCTACAAATGAAAGCCAGCCATTAATATTATTTTCATGGAAATTCTGTATACATGTATCTATGGTTACTGTTCTCTAAACTGATCTCATCCTCAGGATCAGAGTTGATTGCCTATATTAGATAGGTTCAGATGCTTTCATACCTCAAGTTAATTCAGTGGTTGAAAGGGATGATGCACTTCTCAACCAAACTCATTATGAAGCCCACTTGCATAAAGCAATCTTAGCATTACGATCGTAAGTCTATGTTAGTGTGGAGTTATGATCATTGTACCACTAAGATCACTTTGTGCAAGTGGGCCCGGGTCTTTTGAAGGCATTTAGAAGATGAAATACATGTAACTTGGTTCTGTCAGTATAGTTAGCCGACATAATTCTTGCTCATGAGTCTGTAATGACAGTTATGGCATGTAATTCCAGTTTATATATCACGCCACACTTTTCTGGAAAAAAGATGCATTTCTCTCAATTATACTATCTGCCATCAGAAACTACCATTTAAGTTATTCCAAAGAAATTATATATTTGGATTATAATATTAAATTAAAACGTTTCAAGTGAATTAACGTAGCGTTGCATTAGATTGACTCTTGCACCCTCTACCGGACGAACATTATTTCAAGCTAACCCCATAGAGTTAGGTCCCTTGGAGAGTTCTTTATGAATATCCTATGCACAGCTTGTGCTTGAAACCAGTTCGCCAAACACCGACAACACCGCGTGTGACAGTTTTCGATATTTGAAAAAATTGTTAACATTCCAAATATATGGCAAAATTTCTCTGTTTGGAAGCTGTACACCTCGAAGTTTCAATTATCGATTTCAGGCAAGTTGTAAGGGATAATAAGTCTTTTATTGCATATACCCCAATATGTATAACATAGGCCAAAATATTGTCTAAATGTTTGCCTTTAATGTTTTTGTGGTGTTATCAAGCATGATAAAGTTTGTAAGAGGTCATGGCAAAATTATAGGCAATAAAATGTGATGAGATTTCTTTAGCTGGTGATAAAAGTAAATATTGACGAGATCTACATTGGAGAAACATTCTGTGATGGAGAAACTGTTGTGTTCCAGATTTCTGATGGTGAGGATCGTGAGAGCAAGCTGTGCATCTGGAGCCACCCCGGGGATGATGTGACGGGCATGGTGGGGCGCTGTGAGAAGGTGGTCACAACATCAGAGAAGGTGCTCACCACAACACAGACTTGCATCTTTTAGAATTTGTCCAGTGTGTTATATCTCCATTGACAAATCCCATGGAGTCATCACGCCCAAATGACACCATAGCTTTGTCTCAGAAGTGATGTAGTATCCTCCAATGTTCCTTTCTCAGTCTTAACGCAGATTGATAGGTCAACACTTTCATGCAGTGTTTTGTGCTTGAAAGAAGCTTTAGTAAAAGATGGGACCAGAGTATTAACAGGTATAGAATGGAGATGAAATACACTGAATATACAGTAATCCAACTGCTTCAGTAGATGGAGTTTTGTAATGCTGACTGTTTCCATCTATTCTATTTACATTCCAAGGTAGTGCATGAGATGGTGACGGGATGAAGGAGACATTATCACAAGGCTTGACATGGAATCTTAACTGCAAATTTTTATGGAGTTGTTCTGTTGGAAGACAGAGAAGCTCACCCAAGTGAAATTTCATGACAAAGATGTCAACATCTTGACTGCAAGGCTTGTTCTAACTTTGACCAATGAGTGTTGACATATTTGATGTCAAACCATGAGGTTGGGCATGTTGAGATTCAGTTTATCATCAAAGATCATTCTTCCAACTTTTATATTTTCTAATCAATGATAAGTAGTATCTGACTGTAAAGAGTTCAGCTAAACAGCTTCAGTGGGAGAGAGATTAGTGATGTTATTTGTTTGAGGTGTTCTGGGAACTGAGGATTCCACAGTGGTCTCACAAGTACTATCCACTTGGAGATAATCACTAGATTTCATGCAAGCAGTGTGACATTTTGAAGACAGTTTTCAATGAGAAAACAAAAGTTTCAAGCAGTTCATGTTTGTTGTGAGGTCTGAACATCACCACGACTGCACAGAATCAATAGTATTCATTTTGTAAATTAGCATGGCTCCAATTGTGATAGTATTATTGTCTGTTTTTCAGTTGCTTGGAGGGGAGGTGTATCATTACCACACCAAGCTGATGATGAAGGAAGCATTTACTGGGGGCAAGCACGTGTGGCATCAGGATTATGGGTAGGTGGCCGAAGCTGAATATATGATGAAGTGGGCAAGCACGTGTGGCATCAGGATTATGGGTAGGTGGCCGAAGCTGAATATATGATGAAGTGGGCAAGCATGTGTGTGGCATCAGGATTCTGGGTAGGTGGGTTCTCAGTTGAATATATGTCTTGGCATGGAAAGGATGGGCTGAAGGGGTAAGCAATGGTAAGGCTGAAGGGGCAAGCTGTCGTGTGGCATCAGGATTATGGGTAGGTGGCGAAGGCTGAATATATGGAAGTGGGCAAGCATGTGTGGCGTGAGGACTATGGGGTGAGGGCTGTCTGAGGGATGAAGCAGGTTCTCAGTTGGGAAAAGCATGTCTTGGCAGGTAGGCTGAAGGGGTAAGCATGTCTGGTACGTAGGCTGAAGGGGTAAGCATGTCTGGTAGGAAGGCTGAAGGGGTAAGCATGTCTGGTAGGAAGGCTGAAGGGGTAAGGCTGTCTGGTAGGAAGGCTGAAGGGGTAAGCATGTCTGGTATGTAGGCTGAAGGGTAAGCATGTCTGGTAGGAAGGCTGAAGGGGTAAGCATGTCTGGTAGGAAGGCTGAAGGGGTAAGCGTGTCTGGTAGGAAGGCTGAAGGGGTAAGCATGTCTGGTACGTAGGCTGAAGGGTAAGCGTGTCTGGTAGGAAGGCTGAAAGATCAAGCAGTTATTCGGTCAGGGAAATCTTGTGTTGCATTATGTCTACATGGAGTAGTAATATAATGTTAATGATGTAAAGTACATCACTGGGTGTACAGATGACGGATGTGGCTCAATTAAACATGTCAATACACAAATATTTTCTTTAACGCTGTTTGTGTGAAACTGAGTAATTGGACTGTGGCATAGATCCATGTTACATATCATCATGATCATTGTAAGATGTGTTAATGCTGTCCTTCCAGATACTGGTACAAAAATGGCTGTCTGTTCCCTGACATGTTGACCGTCTTCATCTCCATTGATGCATGTACCAAGGCTAATGGTTGTCTCCAGGTCGGGCATGCCACTGGCACACTGTTTTCATAGAATTGAATAACACATATTCAAGACCTTAGCGCCTTCAGTTCCCTCTATCCATGTACTGCTATACATATGGAGAGAGTTTTATCATATAAAGCTTATTAAGTCTCCAACTCCAAGGTTGTTTCTCATTTTGGGGGTTTTGGTTTGGTCTGTTGTTTAACTCCACACTCAGCATTATTCAAGCTATATGGCGGTGGCCTGTAAATAATCAGACCTGGACCAGACAATGCAGTGATCAACAGCATGAGCATTGATCTAGACAGTTGGGATATACAGCCACAGGAGTGATGTCATTGGGAGTCGTAGGTTCCGCTGTGCTGCCAATTTTACGGTTCAAACTAAAGGAGCTTACGAACACAATGAAAGTGGTAGTCTTAAGGATTATCTGAAGTTGGTTTAAGTCTGGTGTTTGGTTTCCTGGACACAGCCTTGAATGTATTTTGTTAAGTGCCCAGAATGTATAGAATTCTTCCTAGTTGATTTTGCACCAAAAGCAGGGATGGCTCACATAAACTGGTGGTGCACTATCTCTCCCTCAGTCCTACCATCTGTTGTAAGCATGGTATCTGGTGTCCCCAGCCGTGATGTTGCTGGAATATTGCTAAAAGCGGCGTAAAACCAAACTCAGTCAGTCAGTGTAAGCATGGTAAACCTTTGCAACATCTCCTCCTGTGTTGCCTCATCTAGTTTTATTATCAACCTACATTTTACATACAGCTGAGGCCCAGAGTTGATGGCTGTATTTTCTCAAAATATAGTTAAGAAGATATTTTAAAAGTCATAAGATGTACTTAAGAAAAGAAATCATACTTGCTGTTTCAACTCAGATTCTAGAGGGGTCTCATCGCTGTGGTCGGATCGAGCACCTGTATGTTGGTGACCAGACTGGAGCTGACCTTGCTCGGGTCAAGGAGCTACAAGGTCAACTGGAGCAACTGTATGTGGAGATGAAGCCAGGTGAGGACATCTCAGGGTGGGGAGTGTCTGGGTAGATGGAGGTTGTGTGTTGGGTAGATGGAAGTAGTGTAGGGCTAGGTGTGCGTGGGTGCGTGCTATGCATTAGACGCCGGTAGATGGAGTAAGTGTACGTGTAGAGTTAGATGAGGCAGTGTCTGGTGTATGTGTAATTATGTAAACAGTACTACAGTGCTGGTGTGACCTGGAATGTCGTGTTTCCCCAGGTGATGCCCTGTTCTTTCACTCTAACCTGCTGCACACCTCCAGCCCCAACACCAGCCCCGACCGCCGCTGGGCATTCCTGTGTGCCTACAACCGTGCCAGCAACAACCCGGTGTATGAGCATCATCACCCCCAGTACACCCCACTAGTCAAGGTGAGAAAGTCAAACATTTGTGGAACTCTGAAGGCCCCAAACAGTATACCTCACATGTCAGTGAAATTGTGTATATTGAATATTATAGCAAATCTTTTCATAAGTTTGATTTAGCAGTGACCTATAATTGGTTTTCTTATGAGAGGTGTTAGAGACTTTGTTCACCTGCAGAATATTTCTCTAATTTGTGATTTAATGACCTCGCAGGTCACTAACATTTGTGTACACAATAACTTGATTCTTTTGAAGTTTGAAGTTAAAACTTTATCATCATGCATGATCACAAAAGCGGGGTCTTGATCGCATCCTCTGTGTAAGGTAAAAAGTTACTGAAAGTCATGTAAGGAAACATTGTTAAAATGTCATGTAATTTCAGATTAAATTCATTATGAGAAATCTGAGCACTTTCCAATCACACCAAGTAATACGCTCAGTACCTCAGTAACAGTGCCATGACATGGTACATCTAAAGGTCATTCAATCATGACATATCATGTCATTGTTTAATAGTTCTTGTTTATAGTGTATTCACAGGTCGATACGTACGAGGAGTTGACATTCGTATCATTACCTATGTTTACAAGCAGTAATATTTATACAAACCTGTAGAGGCTATGAATTCTTTGAAGAAAGTCCTCCTTGGACTGTAGGGGGTCCGGTGGGGCCCTGTATGGGTGGTCTCACAAGACAAAACGAGGTTTTTGTTTTGTAAATATTTTATTGAAAAATATAGTTACAACTGTCGAGGATTTAAAATGGAGATTTTAATGCTTATATGTACCCCAAGGAGGACTTCTTCTGAAAAAGATCTTGCATGTGATTGATGGTTTTTGAAAGTCAAGGTCACTTAGTGCTGGCTTTAAGGTCCATGAGTTCAAATGATGAATCATTGCTCAAATGTCATGAAATTTCATTCATGCAATCTTGAAGTTTTTTGCAATCAGTTCAGATGAATTCCAAGCGACTAAATCCATAACTGTCATGTGTCACAGTTTCTTTGATGTCAGTGAAGGTCATTAATCCAATTATAACATGACATGTGTATAGTTTCATTCAGGAAATATTGTGACTTTGATGTGAAGCAACACAGATATAGTTTGAATATTACTGTGTTCTTCAATATGTTTGGTCATTTAAAAATTGTGTGCCTTGACCTCCATGTAATATGTTAAGGTCACTGTAGGTCATGAAACAGGAAAGCTGTCAACACAAGGAAATTACATAGTGTCTAGCTATTGGTGTGTATCAATTTGATACTTCCTTGTTGAGAGACAAATAGCAATCTGGATAAGTACCAACTTTTGACTCAGTCCTTTAATTTGACACTTGACAGGGGTGAGCACTGTTTTCTGTTCCAACGTTAAGCACTGATGTTGAGGGTGAGAGAGCACAATGCTGTAAGTGCTTGTGTATTGCCAGGTGCCCAACAGCGCCATCCGAGACTGTGTCAACCTGACCGACACATCAGGGAAAGACTTTGTGGACCCATCTAAAGACAGGACAGTGAAGAAGGGGGACGCAGCAGTCCCCAGCACGAAGCGCCAGAAGTTGTCAGCGTAGCCTCCTCCCGATGTCCTTCATCTGCAACAATGGTCAGCTGGTGGTTGATTAGAACCTTAACACAGGGTGCTGACTGTCAGCATCACTGCTATCAGTTATCAGTAGACGAGGATCAAGCTCTGGAGACCATATATAATGACCACCTGGGATATATTGTTTTAAACTCATTTTGTCTACAGCTGTTTCTTCAGACTCACCATCCATTTTTCCAATTTTGCTTGAGTTTCTTCTTGTCACCTTCACACAGTTCTCTAGATGCCAACCACTACACCATGGCCTGTATCAAAATGATATATAAAATTTGAACCAAGCATATAGGTAATTTTATTTTAAAAAAAGAATGTTCCCAGTAAACCGTGCTGGACATCAATTCAACAGTGGTTAATGGATTATAGTTCTGAATTACTTCATTTTGACCACAATTGCTTGAGGTGGAGGCCTGTAGTGTTGCTCCAGTGGTGGAGGAGGGAGGCTGGGGGTGTGGTTCACTATGGTAACATGCTACCCCAGCTGCTATAGTGCACCCCGACACCACGATGTCATGTTGTGAAATGTATAATAACCAAGATTTGTACTCTGTATCACTTCCATCAAAACTTTGGGATATACATGTATTACTGTGTCCATGGACATAATTCTAGCTTCAGTCATATTGCTACATTCATACACTATCATCCTGGATCAACTTGAACCATGTCAGCCTATGCAATATCTCATCCCAGTATATATTTTCAGAAACATGCCCTAATGGTCTCTGTACATACTTCAGTGTTTATTTGAAAGTTTGCTTATAGAAGAGATTATGTGTTTTGGTTCTGGACAAACAACCATGCTGATATTGTAACAACTAAAGACCTCGTTGATCATGAAGACAGATGACTATGTATTCATAATGTGTAATGACAGCTGACGTTTGTTTGATTGACTATGACACCTTAGTATTGTGGATCAACATTGCCCTGAAGTCAACCGTGGCAACCCAGAAGGTGTGGTCATCATTGCCCTGAAGTCAACCGTGGCAACCCAGAAGGTGTGGTCATCATTGCCCTGAAGTCAACCGTGGCAACCCAGGTGTGGTCAACATTGCCCTGAAGTCAAAACAGGCATTTAGCATAGTTGTCTTATTCAAACTAACGTGGACCTGATTGACCTGAACAAAATCTTAAATACCTCTATTTGCACAACTGTCTTGAAAGGCCATGTGAACATAAGTTGTTCCAAATCATCCATCTTTGTCCAAATGTTTTACAAGTTAATGGTGCAGATGAACATATAAGTTCCCATTAGTTTTACATGTTCTATACTTTGACCTTTATACTTTGACAGTACTAAAAATGGACATATTTTGCTGCCACTAGTCAATCTTTCTGTGTCAATTTGAAATGAAATTTGGTATTTGGTATGCATGTAATTTGATGTGAATTTCACATTGCTAAATTTAATATTTTGAATTGGTCGTACTTTTGAATTTCCTAAAACTTCACACTGGCTCTGTAAACTTCTTCCCTCTTGAATGGCTAACAGGTGAAGAAGCTGTGCTTTGCTATATATGTTTTTCCTTCCGAGGACATCATAAGTGGTTCAAATTATGTCTTTTATAAGTTTTTAATCATCAGCACCAGTATTTATGCTGAAAACACTTTTGAATTGCAATGCTGTTAGCAACTTTGTTGACGTTTTAAAGTGGAGACTAAATATGAGCTACAGTGAGTAAAACTATGCCCTTAGAGAAATGCAGATGAAATCTTCAGTGTCTCCACGCATCTTTCACCTACAATTCTCCTGAAAGTCACTCTCACCAGCTGTTATCTGTTGTCAGGACAATAGAATCACAACATTTCACATTGTGCCCTTAGATTTCCTGAATGTTCAGAAAGTTCCAAATACATTCAACTGTTATATGGGATGTTTTTATATGTTATATTTCTATATGTTATAGATGTTACTAGTTTCACCTTTTTCATTCTCTTCATTTTTATCAGACATATTCACATGGTAGAATAGAATTTTGATAACCACACTTATAAATAATCAAGGGAGGAGAAAAAGTCTATTGTGTGGACTGAAGTAAAGTTGAACCTTGCTAGCCTGGACTGTACAGAATTCAGGAAATGAGCCAAACTAACAAATGTCCGCATTAAGGAATCAGGGTTATAGAATTTCTTCTGATATTCAGAGAGGGTTTCAAGGTTCCACTGTTTATTTGGAAGTCACAGCTTGAACTTTGTATAAGTATGTGGACAGACTTGTGAACAGTGACTGATCTGCTTCTATCATTGTTTAGTGCAGTGTCAGTTCACATGAGTAGTTTAGTGTTATCTATTTTTATTGGTTTTACGCAGGGTTTCATTTGTATTAATGCATTTTTTGTCAATTAACTTTCTAAAGTGGCACTTGCCATGTCTTGTTGTCTACTGGGATATGTGTGGAGCACCTTGCAGGGTGTCAAATGACGTATTTCACTTACACTAGGGGGCACGGAAGTTAATCTGGGTATATTTTAGCTCAACAGCCCGTATGTCTTTCAGTATGAGTTGAGTTTAATACCCATTTCTGGACTTATGTGATGTCACATTGTTAATCCTGAAATGAAAAACTGGAAACTTTGTAATGGATTATGACCAATAAATATGTTTATTTTCAAAGTTTCTTTGGGTTGTCTTGAATTTCTTCTTAGCTGTTTCAACGTAGGATATGAAGTACATGTAATTACTGCCATTTGACATTCATGTATTCCTGTATCTAGTTTTAATCTTAAATTAACACAAGAGTGAATTAATCATGTTAATTGAAGAGAAAAAGAGGACCTTGCTCCTATTGATTAACTTTGCAAAATGTTTTTAAACAATGGCAGTGAATATGATGGCATCACTTTGGATAGTGGAAATACCAAGTTCTATGTTAACACAAACAAGTCCAATCCACATCATGGTTTAATTGAGCAGCACTTTTAACAAGTATATACTGGTAATGGTATCAATACCACATTCAAAGTTGCATCATAGAGTGAATGAGTTGGCTTTTACGCCACTTTTAGCAATATTTGAGCAATATCACAGCAGGGGGACACCAGAAATGTGCTTCATACATTGTGCCCATTTGGGGAATCAAACCCGGGCCTTCAGCGTGAGAAGCGAACGCTTTAACCACTAGGCTACCCCACCACCCCTGCATCATAGACATCAGGTGAGATATCTTTGGTATGGTCAAGAGCCCTACTTACTCACTCACGCTAGAGGTCAGTTACATTTATATTGAGTCACATTTATCCGGGGTGAGCAGTCACACTAATTTGGACATGCATTCATTTAAGGATATATTATTGATCTTACATACATCTTGCTCTTTATCAGAGTAATTGCCTGAAATTTGTGATGAAAGTCTAATCCTGAATAGGTTTGAACACTCTATTTACAGGCAGGGGCTCGGTTAACATTATCCTGGCATAATCAGAAACAAAAATGTGTCGGGACAGCATGGTGAAGACACTGGACCAACATACTTGAGAATTAGTTTGGTTTCATCAAGATGGTTGACATATAAGCGTGATTAGACCTGTCACTACTTAAGCTTTCCTCCTTCATCACGCTGACGTGCAGTTATATTACTGAAATACTGTTTAATGTGCTATTTAATCAAACTCACAAAGTCAATATACACCAAACCACAACTGTTTGCAGTCAAAATATAAGTACTCACTACAAAGAACCTTTGTGACTTATAGAATTGATAAGTCATGTGGAGTTAATTACTATCCCTAAGTGCATACATACTTATGACTATATATATATCGTGCATATTTCATGTAGGCAAAAATCATGATGAAGATACCAATATCACATCTACTATCTTTATGACATGAAATTGTGAAATTTTGTTTTCTTGTTTTACTTTGAAATGTTGTTGATTACATTCATAGTATTCTGAATATACAAAACATAAAATGTGCAAACTTAACGATGTTTCATTTTTCATATTTTACCCCTTTATTAGAAATTTCATGAAATTCATCACTACCGTTACGAAATTTGTAACATCATTTTGAAAAGAAAAAAATCCAAAGATGATATTTATTTAATGTACATATATATTAAACTATCTAGTTTTACAATATAACATGGTTAATGAGTTTTGAAATGTTATATTTATTGCTTAAAAGGGGCCAACAAGCCACAAAAATTCTTTCATTTCTGATTTGCAAATCTAAAGTAAAATGTAGTGAAAAATTCAAAACGAGAATATGAATTATATTATGCTTACTTGAATTTGTACTACCAAACATAGTTGCACTACAAATTCCAGACATAAACAGATAAATCAATTTTACTTAAATAAGGAAAATGATATTGTTATGGCATGGACATTGGAATTAACTGTTACGGTAGTAACATAAAGATGCACGAATTTTGAGAATGACTCATATACTGTCAAATTATCCGTCTCTGAAGAATATGATTTAGTCTATAGCAAAATGAATGAATATAAAATGAACAAATTCACCTAAAGACATTTTATCATCTTGGTGTCAGAACTCGAACGCCACTTCTGACTGCCACGCGCTTCCAGGAAAACCTACCTATCTCGGCCCGGTTGTTCAAAACTCGGTTATCTTTTAACCACTGGTTAAATACTCTTAACCGGCCGTTAAAGTTAACCAAGTGTTAAGATAACCGAGTTTTGAACAACCGGGCCCTGGTGGAGAGTTACCTAAGCTGGGCCCCGTCTCGCATATCGCAAAGGGAGCCGGGAACCAGCTTAGAGAGTTACCTACCTAAAAGCGGAGGAATCCACTTATCACATTCCTTTGGCATAATTAATTAATTCCTTTGGCGTAATTTATTCATTAGAAAACAGCTGTTACACTGTGAGTATATCATACTTATAATCATGTCACAATCGCTGTTTGTTTATGGGCCTTTATTTCGCTTGCGATATCGAACTTGATTTCGCGCATTGCGTTGTCACTTGGAGTGATTAGGATGTAAACAATATGGCGACGAAAAGGCAGCACTGGTCGTGAGGTATGTGTTACTAACGACGCTATCTCTTAATGTCGTTGTCTGTCACACTATGGGTGCATAACTTTAAGACAGACATAACAGGTATATTTACTGACCGAAAACACACACTGTGTTCTGTCTGCAAGGAGTACATTTTATATGCGTTGTGATGACAAAATACTCGACAGCTCGATTGAGAACGCAAATCGGGCAAATTGGTCGCAGGCCATGTTACATGTAGAAGAATTTTAGCAAACCCACCCATTTAATGCTTACATATATTTATCTTGCGGTTAAATGCACCATGTAAATACTACAGTACATACCATTAATAAAAAAGGCCAGGCATTAGACTTACCTCCCTTACATTAGACTCACAGCAATGCAATATGTGGTTTGTTTTGATCTCAGATATCGATAACGGTGTCACTGAAAACTTACATAGAGTTCTAATTACACTCAAATCTGACCTCCATTATTTCTTCATAGACTGACATATATTTTATTTACTTCTCACCACTGTACATATGCAGATATAGTACTCACAGTAAGAATATGTCATTCTATATCCATATAGAATACGTTTTTATGTTGTAGTATTAAAAAGCGGGTTTTGGCAGTAAGGTTGATCTTATGCTTGAAAAGCACACATGACTTTTCGTAGTTTGACATTGTTAAAAAGTTGGATACATTAGACAGAACATTTGGAAAAGAGAAATATTCTAGATTTTTGATATAAGCAAGGGAAACTGTAACAAAACATGCTCCTCGTCTTTAATAAATTCATGACAGTTAAAACATACTATCCTCAACATTTAATTTAATATATCTGCTCTGTTCCTACTCTTAAAGGTACAATAAAACTTCTAAATTTTGTAGAAGTGCTGACATAATTTTCCCAGCAATAAAAAGCATTAAAAGGTCTGTGGGTACGGAGCTTACTTCTACCAGTAACATCATTATCTTTCCATGAAATCTGTTACCCTCTCTGACATGTCTGATAATAATAGTTCAGTGTAAAAATCTGGTCCATGAGCAGTGTTTGCCTGGTATGACGCAGAAAACCTGCGTATTTAACGCACAAATTATTTCAAATACGCAGTGAATTTAGAAGCTTGAGTCATTGTTGACGCAATGCTACTGGGCCCTTAGTTCAGATAATCTAAACTTCGGTTTCTCTGCGATGAGTGGGTTTTTTTGACTGCTCGGTGCTGATTAAATATCTGCCCTGCCTTACCTTGTTTTTTGTCATTATTAAACAATCACAGTTGATGTCTTGATGAAAGTTCTAAACTGAAGTTGACTCCTAAAATGATGTCCATGACTCCCTCTCATGACACCAGGAAGTCATGATGACTCCTAAATTTTTATGCCCAGGGCAAACACTGCATGAGCACAAAGGAATCTATTCTGCTCTCATCAGCAGTGCTTTTGATGTGACTTTCATCAAGTAAGTATGACTGTTGACTGGTGTGATGCATTATCATGATTATGTCTCAGCAAAAGTATAGATCCTCATCATGCTTATGTCTCGCCTATTCCAAATGATTCCTACCACTTTTCTGTGTTCCTTACTGTGTGCACCTTGAGCATGCATTGTGCGTGGAAAGGCGCCTTATAAATGGACTATTATTATTATTATTTATTATTATACATGATGTGGCGTGCACGGATGTTGCAGGTCACAGTGCTAGGTATGTTGAAGGGCCCGGCCACATAACAAGTTCCAGGATGTCAGGAGTGAATCCTGGGGGGTCAGCCCTCTACCCAGGTTTAGACACACTCTCCAAAGCTGACCCCGATGTTGTCATTGCAATGGACCTAGAATACACCAAAAGAAACCAGAAATGTGTCAGCCCATTTCAAAACAAATCAAAGAAGTCTGTCAAATCTAGAATGTCTGATAAGAACATGAAGAAAGAAGGAACGTCGGCATCACTTAAAACAAGAGCCAGACAGATAAAGGCACATGAGGTTAGTACAAATAACACTGAACATACCCTGCTGAAGTAGGTTTTATCTACTTCATGGGATCTACTGAAGTAGAATGTAACATAATGTCCTCTTAATAAGAAGCTCTACGTCCCATGAATAGTTCTTTACAAACATGGTCACAATCTGTTTCTTCTCTGATAAGTCTTAAAAAACATCTACCTCCAAAACAATGACCTGTGATGCAAGAACTGACTTTTCTAAAAATAGTTCATGACCCTGATATACAAACCTGAATGCAGCATGATAATTTCTCATTGATTCCAAGTGGTAACAATTTGCATACAGAAATCTCACACTTAGATATGATAAAAATGAATTTGTTTTAAGTCAGTGTTTGGAAATACTATGAATTACCTAAGAATTGGTTTTCATCAGAACAAGGATTCCCAAAACACATAACAAACTCAAGATTGAGAAAGGGATTCATGTTGCAGTGGTTAAATATGTTGAATTGTGTTTTTCGATAGACGGAACCATTCTTGTCTGTGGACACCATTCCAGCTGATAAAAGGAATCTATCCACAGGTCTGTATGTCTTTCTAACTTGTCACATTGAAGGATTATAGTTATGTAAACGTCTGTTTATCTTTACATCACATTGCTGATCATCATCTATATCTAGCTATGGCGACGGTCTGTAAATAATTGAGTGGGGACCAGACAATCCAGTGATCAAACAGCATGAACCTTTATCTAGACAAATGGGATGCAATGACATGTGGCAACAACGTCAGTGAGTCTGACCACCCGATCCTGTTAGTAGCCTTTTACGACATGCATGAGTTGCTGAAGACCAATTCCATCCCGGACCTTCATGGGTTGCTAAAATGGAAAGATATAGAAAGTACATTAAAATGGAAAGATATGTAAAGTCATGGTAGTTATAACAAGATGGTTGGTTATACAAGCACCTAACATTGACTGAATAAAACAGTGTTAGTTGTTCAAGCATTAATATTTACAAATATTTTTGTATATACATGTGTTGTATATGCCAGTGTAGTCATTTTATACTCTATTATCACATTGTTATACTGACTGACTGAGTTTAGTTTTACGCCACTTTTAGCAATATTCCAGCAACATCACTGTGGGGATGCCAGAAATGGGCTTCACACATTGTACCCATGTGGGGATTCGAACCCGGGTCTTCAGTGTGACGAGCCAACACTTTGACCACGAGGCTACCCCACCGCCCTCACATTGATATAACATGCTTATAATGACATATCATTCTGGCAGAGTAATTCAGTTAGCCGGAGGCCAGTAAGTACTCACGGTCATGATCTTATTGTACAGACACACGCAATATGTAAGGCCTAAAACGGGTGATGTATCACCATGCTGAGATAATGTATGATCTCCAACCAAGGAACATCTACCTAAACTGAGAGTTTGTACAAACCAGATACAGATAGCGTTTTTTCATAATAATTCCAATATGCTTACATGAAATCTGTATGAGCTATTTTACCAGGTTAGAAATACAGGTGAAAAGGTCTTTGTGTTAATCCTAATCTTACAAAGTTAATTGTAGGTGCCTTGATTTCAAATATTACAGCAGGGCCCCTATAATGTCTAGCATTGCTGTTTACACAGATGTTAGCAACATGTGAATTCCAATTTTAATGTGAAGTTAGATTTTGAATACATTATGGTGATACTTGTAGAGGGATCAGCTCGACATAGTCACCATAGCATGAGCAGGGGACAGTCAAGCAGCTGGGCCAGTCCTGGTTCTCCCAGCGGTCAGAGGGGGATGTCTCGCTTCTCCATGTACTCGTCGGCCAGCGTACCTGCCAGGTGTGTAGCCATTCAGCTTAGTGTACCAGCCATCTAGGTGTACACATGATCTTGTATAGCAGCTTAGTGTACCAAGATTAGTGTAGCAGCCATCTAGGTGTACACATGATCTTGTTTAGCTGCTAGGTGTATAGCCATTGCTTAGTGTACAAGCCTGGTGTGTTGTTGACATGTGTTGTATCCCTTGTATAATGCTATGTGTTGTATATTGCCATGTTTTGTATTCTCTTGTGTGTTGTATAATGTTGTGTGTTGTACGTTGTGTGTTTTATGTTGCTGTGTGTTGTATACTGCAGTGTGTTGTATGTTGCTGTGTGTTGTATACTGCAGTGTGTTGTATAATGCTGTATGTTGTATGTTGCTGTGTGTTGTTTACTGCAGTGTGTTGTATGTTGCTGTGAGTTGTATAATGCTGTGTGTTGTATGTTGCTGTATGTTGTATGTTGCTGTGTGTTGTATGTTGCTGTGTGTTGTATAATGCTGTATGTTGCTGTGTGTTGTATGTTGCTGTATGTTGTATGTTGCTGTGTGTTGTATAATGCTGTGTGTTGTATGTTGCTGTATGTTGTATAATGCTGTGTGTTGTATGTTGCTGTGTGTTGTATACTGCTGTGTGTTGTATGTTGCTGTGTGTGTGTTGTGTGTTGCGTATACTGCTGTGTGTTGTATGTTGCTGTGTGTTGTATGTTGCTGTGAGTGTGTTGTATGTTGCTGTGTTTTGTATGTGCTGTGTGTTGCATAATGCTGTATGTTGTATGTTGCTGTATGTTGTATCTTGCAGTGTGTTGTATACTGCTGTGTGTTGCATACTGATGTGAATGCTGTGTGTTGTATCTAATGTTTATTATATGGTGCTGTCTGTTGCTACAGACACAACTTGACTCGGAGCAGTCGAAGAGGAATGGCTTCATCCATGTCTCAAAGAACCCTGCCTTCCACCAGCAGCAAAGCCAGGACGCTGAACTCACACATCAAGAGTCCATTCAAGCACTCCGTACACAAGCCGACCGTCGCAGTACCACCAGTGAGTATGGCCGACTCATGTCATTACCAGCAGATTATTTACACTTCATGTTTTACAGCTGTAGAACTTGTCTGCAGGGTATTATGTTATTCCTGTGGAACTAAGAGTTTCTGTTCAGTGAGGTATTCCATTCTGTGTGACAGGAGAATGAGAGCCCCTCCCAGGATCTGAAGGACCGGACTGCCCTGGCCACCTACCACATCAACAAGATGCTGCTACTGGATACCCACAGCAGTGGACAGAGGCCAAGGGGGAAACTCCTCAAAGCCAAGTACGTACCAGACATATGTTAGACCTGTTATCTAGTGTATGAAACTTTAGGAGCTAAACAAGATCCTGTCGTTCCCAGTCCTTCCTTTTTTTTCAACCATTAGCTAAATCTACACACATAGCACAACAATCTTTATCAGTTGTCAATCCGCACATTTCTTGAATAAAATCATCAAATTTAGTTTGTATTAAATCACAATTAAAATAACCACTTTGCATGTATATTTCTGGAAAATAGCTCTGTAGTGGACACTGATTATCATAGATGGCCAGTTGTTAATACATACTGACTGTGGAACCAGTTTCCAGTATACCATGATGTCACAACTTTTTTGTCTTCATACTCTTATGGTGCTGAATATTTTGTATGCATATGTGGATTATATTTTGTTTCCCAATAGCCAGGATCTTATGTATTTGTAATGGTTAATTAGTTTATCAAGGGATACATTATGTACCATTTGACTGTTTGAGACACTCCTGTCTACTACTTGGAACGTGCTGCTCCACAAACTCAGGAGAACATTTCTTACCTTGATTCATCTCCTGACCAGACAAGTCTGCTATTTGGGCTGGGCTGGGTAGCCCGGATATCCAGGATGGGTGGGTAAAGAGTTGGACCTGGGTACCCATCACATTACCCGCACCTGCTTTGATCACGTGACTAATGAATGAAGAATTAATTGAATGTGTTTGTCTTTGTGCCTGATGCGACGGATTAAAAATGTTTCCAGATGCCGCTCTTAATCTCGGCCATGACTGATTTTATTGAAAGGGAATAACTCACAATTAGTTTTGTAAGGGGTGCCCGGGTCGGGTCGGGTAATAGGGGGTTGGGTACCCAGATAGGAAATTTGGACCTATCCCAGCCCTAATAATATATATATGGATATGACACGACCAGATGTTTTTGTAGAATCTACATTTACAGATTGACAACATTTTCTGGAGGAAAAAATGGATATTGCTTCACAAGCAACTAATTATTTTTTTTATGTGTTTTGTTGGTTGTCCAAGTGTTAAAAAAGTTGGTGTCATTTGACATGTTGAGATAGGTAGCATGATGAGAGCTGGGTGATCCTTGTCCAGTGTTTTATGTGTGTGTTATAGCTGTGTGTGATGGTTTCCACTCTAGCTCTACCACTAGCTGCTGTATGGAGATACTGTATGGGTATGTTGATGTACTAGCACAGTGTACTGAGTGGATCATACTAACATTGTAACACGAGGGACTGGCAACAGAGGTGGGCAGCATCACATCCCTGTCCATGAAGGATTGACCGCAACATCATGTGCAACATGTCTAGGTTCAAATAGGCAGTATTCCCCCTGAAGGTCCCAGTACAATGTGTTGAGGTTCACTGACAAGTGAACAATGTTTTCCTCGGCACGAGCATGTTAAGGTAATGAATTCTATGAATAAGAACTGGGTGTATTAATTAGGAAAATTCTTATGGAACATTGTGTCGGTATTTATTACTCATGTAAACTTAATCAAAAATGTTAATTGTTATTGATATTTAAGGAAGATGACATGATTACTTTTTGTTTTTGTAGTAATAATGATTTCAGCGACAATGATGGGTTTTGAGTAGTTTATCGACAGTGATTAATAATCAATGTTAATAATCCACCATGTTGATGCATAATAATCTCACACACTTCACGTGTTTATTTGATGAATATGTATTTTCTCCACTGTGTGTTGCATGGTATGTGAATAACTGGTATGATGGTATCACAAATTCAAATCATTATCGTGACTTATCTGATAACAACTCACATCATCGTAATCATCAAGTCACCAGTGCGATACAATGTTCATGTACAGAAAAATAGGATTCAGATAGTAGTCAGGATAAGTATAAAAATATTAATTTTACTTTAAAAATTTCATACATTAGTGGTCTGGGACCAGATCCATGTAACCCTAAGATGATCGTTACTCCATTACTTTAACATAGACTTATCACAATCATATCACTACGATCACTTTGTAGAACGAGTGCCATGGTACTGTCCATGCTGACCTGTGAAGATTAAGGTTAGAATTGATTTTCAGCAAGAGGCAGACAGGCTTGCTGACTTGGTCGATGCATGTTGTATCGCAATAGCGTTGTGCAAACAGGGCCAAAACTGCTATCATACATTTTGTGCTGAATGGGTAACTCCAAAGTGGTTTCATGTGCTTCACTGCGGTAAAGAACTGTATGCATTTTGATAACATCAACAGTCAACAATATATGTCAGATATGAAACAAGAGGAAAGTAACGGCACTTACAACAGTTAAGCATACAATTTGTTATGTCTACATGAGTTACAAAATGTGTGAACTTAGATAGTAATCATCCTGGTGAATAGTATATATTGTTAAGATGTCCGGGAATGACTCCTCCAAAACAAGTGTGCAGGTTGGAGAGTCAGAAATGGGGAAAGAGTCAGAAGGACAGTTTGTCCGACAGTGTGGTGGTCGAGTGACAGTATACACTAGCAGTGTTCACGAATAGTGCCTGACCCTCTGACAAATCCGGCAGATTCGCTAATGGTCCGATAGAACTGTACAACCCGCCGGCCCCAGTGTCTGACTGCATACTTCACAATGACTTTGACTGAAGTTGTTATATGTGACATGTCACACTTGTTTGCTGTTTATAAATCTTATGTATGTTAATAATTTCAATGTAAATTATAAGAAATATTAAATCTGTAATGTGTGTTTAATTTTATTCTATTGGTCCTGTGAATTTTCAATGGGTCAGACAGACATCTGAAACTTACAGGACCCAATGTCCTGTTACTTTGAAACACCATTCGTGAACACTGCACTAGAGAGGAAAATTTGATGAGACATTGCTAACTGACTTGATAATCATCCTTGTAAATACTGTCTCTGATTGTAACCTACTGACATCTACATCTCCTACAGTAGTGGCATGTTTATAATGTACCCTTCTGTACAGAGTTAGTCAGGCACTGGGATGACAGCCAGGGTTGATTCTGTGAGGGTTGAGACTGTGATGCTGGATGCTTGGGTTATCACAGAACATATGCATGGTGTGACTTAGCAATATCGTGTGTGGTGATATGATACTGACAACACTTCACCGTTGTCTTCACCTTTCAACTGTAATCATGTTAAAGGTCACATGCAACCAAAAAATTAAGCATAATTAAAACACATTTATCACTTATTCATGACATATAATATACATTGCCGATTATGAAAAAACATATAAACAAAATAATAAGCGTACAATCGCAAATCAAAAGTGCAATATTTTGTACTTGGGTTTACTTCCCTAGAAACGAAGCAGTCGGGATACTGAACCCAGTCAGAGCGGGTGGGTGTGCACTCAAGTGTAACAGCTGGTTCATTTGCCGATGCCCTCATGGCTCATTGTGTGTGTGTGTGTATATAGAGATGTTGGGTTTTGTAAATACATGCTCAATTTTTTTGTATAACATTTTGCAGTCAACAGACATCATAACATGTCATGTGTTCAAGTATCACACCTGCCTGTCTGTGTAATTACATAATGTGACAGAGACCGAACTCGGGCCATAAATCAATGCGTTTTGTTTAGTGTTTTTATGTTTTTCATCACTTGCTTGATAACAGTGTTAGAACTTAAAGCGAAACATCGCTCTCATTGTAATAAAGAAGTTGTTCATCCATATATTTATATTCTTCCTTTACTGCCCCAACTTTTAAATGCCTCTCAAAGAAGTTATAGACTGATGAGTTTGTGATCAGCCATTGCTAATTATTGTTGACAACAACATCTTCCCATCTACCATCTGGACTCTCCGCTCTACATGCTTGTGTTTCAGTCTTGTGACTGTTTGTTTGATATTGTTGCAGGCTGAAGCCACTGTACCCAGTCAAAGTTCAAGGCCCACAGATTGAACACTGTAGAGGAATTGTTGCAGGTATCCAAGCTTCTATGTTTTTATTCTGTGGTTGTAATCTTCATTCATCACTGAAATCCTTCTGGACATGATGCTATGAATAACAAACCTTACTATCAGGATAATATGAGTTCTGTTGTAGTAATGTTTACTGTTAATATTTTCACCATGTCGAAGTTCTTGAAAAAGGACTGTCTATAGATGATGTACATTGTCAAACACGAGAATCAGTTACAGGTAGTTTATGTTTTTATTCTGACCCTGTGAAATGGTAGCTATGATTGGCTCTGTGTGTCCTCCATGCAACAGACACACACTCATACAGCGCCAGCCCAAGCAAATCCTTGCAGCGCAGGAAGCAGATCATGTCCAGCATGAACGGTGGTGAGCTGAAGGACCTGATGGACCGACCACGGACAGTGGAGTCTATACACCGGACATCTGTGGCCTCCAGTGTAGATGAGAATCGGGACAACTTGCTGGAGGAAGACATCAGTCAACTCTCACAGGGGTATGTAGGGTAGTGCAGCAGCTCCACCAGGAGACACATGGGTATGTAGGGTAGTGCAGCAGTTCCACCAGGAGACACAGGGGTATGTAGGGTAGTGCAGCAGCTCCACCAGGAGACACAGGGGTATGTAGGGTAGTGCAGCAGCTCCACCAGGAAACACAAGGGTATGTTGGGTAGTGCAGCAGTTCCACCAGGAGACACAGGGCTATGTAGGGTAGTGCAGCAGCTCCACCAGGAGACACAGGGCTATGTAGGGTGGTGCAGCAGCTCCACCAGGAAACACAAGGGTATGTAGGGTAGTGCAGCAGCTCCACCAGGAGACACAGGGGTATGTAGGGTAGTGCAGCAGCTCCACTAGGAGACACAGGGGGGTAGTGTGTCCAGGGACACAGTAGGGTAGTGCAGCAGCTCCACTAGGAGACACAGGGCTATGTAGGGTAGTGCAGCAGCTCCACCAGGAGACACAGGGGGTATGTAGGGTAGTGCAGCAGCTCCACCAGGAGACACAGGGCTATGTAGGGTAGTGCAGCAGCTCCACCAGGAGACACATGGGTATGTAGGGTAGTGCAGCAGCTCCACCAGGAAACACACAGGGTATGTAGGGTAGGTGCAGCAGCAGCCCCACCAGGAGACACAGGGCTATGTAGGGTAGTGCAGCAGCTCCACCAGGAGACACAGGGGTATGTAGGGTGGTGCAGCAGCTCCACCAGGAGACACAGGGGTATGTAGGGTAGTGCAGCAGCTCCACCAGGAGACACAGGGCTATGTAGGGTAGTGCAGCAGCTCCACCAGGAGACACATGGGTATGTAGGGTAGTGCAGCAGCTCCACCAGGAAACACAGGGGTATGTAGGGTAGTGCAGCAGCTCCACCAGGAGACACAGGGCTATGTAGGGTAGTGCAGCAGCATCCCCAGGATGTTTAGTTTGTTGTTTAATTGTGGCCCATTGTCTGTTGTCGGTGAACATGTCAGACATTGTTTTTGGTAGCATTTCAAACTGTAGCAACCGTGAATTATCAGATGAATTATGGATGTTTTGGCAGTTACAAAGATTTGAATCTTTCCACCTTTGATATGTAAACATTTTTCCTTATCCTGACTCATGCTTATTTACTTTCTCATCCTCTTTTCCAAACGGTCAAGTGGAAACTTGAATCCCTTCAATTCCCTTGAAGCGAACGTACAATCACTCACCCTGAATTACCTCCCTTTTCCCGCCAAAACTGGCACGTGACCTGCCATGCCTTGCTCCTCACTCTCTCCTCTATCGCCCAAGCGGACGGTTGGGCGGTCACTTCAGGGTCCCTTCGCGGCTTATAACCTCAAACATTTTGGATATATAGTACAAGTTCTGCCATGATTCACAATTTCACTTCGTTCCAGGTGACTGTTTGTTCACATGTTTTCAATGTAAACAACAGTCCATCACGTCTCAACACTTGATTTACACCCTAGGTGTTCTTCTTGGCTGGTTTACGGTTTGAATAGGTCTTGATGACCTCTACGATGTCATCACAGTCGATGTCTGCGACGTCACCAGTAGGGGAGAAGTCTACCCCACGTACTGTAAGTAAAAGGAAGTCCCCACAGGCAGAGACGGCGCAACATAAGAAACACCGGACGGCCTCTACGATGTCATCACAGTCGAACTCTGCGACGTCACCAGTAGGGGAGAAGTCTACCCCACGTACTGTAAGTAAAAGGAAGTCCCCACAGGCAGAGACGGCGCAACATAAGAAACACCGGACGGCCTCTACGATGTCATCACAGTCGAACTCTGCGACGCCACCAGTAGGGGAGAAGTCTACCCAACGCATGTAAGTAAAAGGAAGTCCCCACAGGCAGAGACGGCGCAACATAAGAAACACCGGACGGCCTCTACGATGTCATCACAGTCGAACTCTGCGATGTCACCAGTAGGGGAGAAGTCTACCCCACGTACTGTAAGTAAAAGGAAGTCCCCACAGGCAGAGACGGCGCAACATAAGAAACACCGGACGGCCTCTACGATGTCATCACAGTCGAACTCTGCGATGTCACCAGTAGGGGAGAAGTCTACCCCACGTACTGTAAGTAAAAGGAAGTCCCCACAGGCAGAGACGGCGCAACATAAGAAACACCGGACGGCCTCTTCAGGGAAGCAGTGCACGTCATCCAGGCACTCATCTAGATCTTCCCACTCTACAAGATCTTCGAGGTCGTCGTTGCATAACCCTATGCATCGACTTTCAACAGATGTTGGGGCGCCTGGTGCTGAAGTAGTTGGTTCCAGTCCTTTGGGACCTCCAGTGTTGCAGCCTGAGGTCTTCCTTGCAGCGTCGCAGAGAGTATCCAGTGCTGAGAACTTGTCAGCGCAGAAGTATGTCATCGTTGCAGTCTACCCCTGGCAGTGATGCTGTGAGATCATCGAAGATGTAACATCTTCCTGTTGGCAGTCTACCACAGCAGGAGCAGACCATACTCAGAACCCTTTGGCGTTTGAAAACGCTACGTCGTCAGCGATGTCGACAGACGAGTCAGTTGCAGTCATCCCGCAGCAGCGTCCGATTTTGAACGCAGAGATCCTCAACGTGGAAGATTTTGCTGACACCATTACCCGTAGGGTGATGCAGGCCATGGAGAAGAGGCTAGAGTGGGAGAAGAAGCAGACGGTTCCTGAGAACAACGCTGCAGAGGGCGAGATGATGGCAGACATCGCAGACCAGTCCTTTACTACGTCGTCAGCAGTCAACGTAGACATCTCTAGTCAGAGCCTAGCAGCTGAGCGGGGACAACCTGCAGAAGATGATGACTTTGTCTTCACTGAGGCAGAGGTACTGGCGTGGGTGGCTGATGGTCTCCCGATATCGTCTCCATCCAGAGACTCCAATCCGGCCGAGACGCACTGCATGAAGGAAGATGACTTCGAGTCGATTACCATACTGCCGATGAAGCCCATTGCGCAGGTTGCAGACAACCTGAAAACAGCCTTTGAAAAGGCTTCAAAGACACAAGGGCAGCATACTCCTTAGTTCAGCACTAGATGGTTCCGGCATCATAACGTGGACCACTTCAACAAGGCGCCTGACATCGATGAAGATTTCTACCTTGTATCAGACTCAAAGTCTCGCAGTTACAAGGTGGAAGACAAGAAGTTTGCACAGCTTGATACGACAATCTGTAGGGCTTTTTACGGGTTAGCAAGGTCCAGAGCCATTAATGAAGCGCTGATGTGTGCTTTCAAGCATCCTAAGACGGAAGAAGAAAGAATGATCTGGTCTACACTAGTGTTACAGCGCAAGGATCAGGAGTTTATCTCCGATCACTTGGCCTCTACGCCGGCGGGCATCACACTATTACGTCGTCAGGGGCTGCTGAGTTCCTCTACATTGCCAGATGTCTACACCAAGCCTTTACTACGAAACCCTTGGGCAGCGCCTACACTGTTTGACGGCGGCATCCAGCAGTTGTCGCGTGAAGTAACTCAAGATTCCAAGGACTTGATGTTGATCAAGTTGGTCCAGACGATAAAAACCATGGTGCGTCAATCTACTCAGTGCAGTCAACTACGATCCCGCTTCTCAGGTATGCAGAGGTCCAAAGAGAAGAAGTTCCCATCCACACGTGGCGGCAACTCAGGATCTTTTCGTCGCCCAAGTAATACCAGAAGTTACTCCAGCCGTGGGCGGTCCTTCGGCGGGAGCAGGAGGTCCCGTTATTGAAGATCAGGTTTGGAACGACTGGCGTCTCACATCCCCAGCCGTTCCTGTACAACCGTCAACCGTGGGTGGACGGTTCTTAAGTCTAGTCTATACTGGGAGAATTGGAGAGTACTACAGGACGACTATGTCATAGAAGTATTACGAGAGGACCACAGTATCCAGTTGCAGTCGACGCCGCCGTTGACCAACAACCCGTTGGTCTTCAAATATCCGCAGCTGCAGTGAGACAAGCTCACCGAAGCTATCGAGATGTTATTGATGAAAGGTGTGGTATTACTCTCCAATTTTCCTAGTACCCAAAAGAGAACTCCAAAGAGAAGTTTCGACTTATCTTCAACATGAAAAGCTTCAACAGAGATTACCTGTTGAAACCAGAGAAGTTCAAGATGCTACATCTACCTCAGCTGAGACATCTTATTCGACCCAACGACTTCATGGCCAGCATAGATCTGCAAGATGCCTATCTACATATCCCGATGCACTTAGAATCACGGAAGTACCTGCGATTCCTGTTCGAACAGCGGCACTACCAGTGGAAGGTCCTGCCCTTTGGAATTTTGTCGGCCCCGTGGTTATTTACGCGAATAACCAAACCGATTGTCGCTTATCTCCATCAGAAGGGGCTACGCAGTGCCTTCAACCTAGATGACGGCATCCAGGCACATCAAGATGCAGATCAATTCTGACTACAGCTGCAGTTTACGATCAACCTGTTGACACAGTTGGGCTGGAGCTGGAGCCGACCCAAGATCTACAGTTCCTGGGCATCAGATTCCTGACGTTAGAGAACCGCGTCCTGGTACCAGACGACCGATGGCAGAGCATCCAGTTGTGCATACCAGACGCCCTCAACTCTCCACTAGACTTAAGAACGTGGCAGCGACTCTTGGGTCTACTGACGTCAGCGCAGGCTCTCGCACGCGGAGGAAGATTGCAACTTAGACCGCTACAGAGGTTCCTGATAGCTCATCTAGACGATGTCCAGAAGTTCGCCATCCCGCAACATCTAAAGCAGTACCTGTTTTGGTGGACAGTAAGATCGAATGTTTGCGCGGAACCTATTTGAGAGAGCCAGAGTACGATCTTCATCTCTACGTGGAGGCGTCCCTCCAAGGCTTGGGGGCACATCTCAACGACGAGGTTGCAGCAGGGCAGTGGTAACAAACAGAGAAGAGTCTGCACATCAACCAGCTAGAACTGAAAGCAGTAATAGAAGCAGTTCTATATTGGGCGGCGCAGTTAGAAGATCAGGTCCTGATGATACACACGGACAACTCCACGGTGGCCTTTTACATAAAT